TTTACCGCCAATGCTTTCTTGAATCTTGCGCCGAGAAGATTTTTCATTTAAAACAAGTGATGTTATTTGTAGTAATACTCTAGCAAATATGTATACAATAAAATTAATATTACAAATTTGCGAAATAAAATGTTGTTACTTAAAAAGGAAAATATGATTTTGAAGGTATTTACCTAAGCAACTGTTCCCAAGTACCCGGTTCTAATCGAGAATTCATTACAACATATCGATATACGTTCAAAACTCTTTTGCAACTATCGGTCTGTTCTTCCAGTAATGATAAAGATGCATTCGGTCCAGAATTCTCTAAGAAGAAGACGTTGGAAGCTTGTGTAATGAACACTTGCAAAACATTTTGTAGCCCCGCTCTTATAAATAAATTTTCTCTGTGTATAGCACCGAGGTAAGAATCATTTCTCAATCTTGTTTGACGATAACTTTCCGAAGGACTTTTATCGATATCATTTAGATCTTTTCTCGGATTTTCTTCGAAATCCCTTTCCTTATGACTATCCAATGGTTCCAACATGAATGGTGGTAATTCCTAATTAAAAATGTAAAAATAAGTAAGTATCACTGGTCATATTATTATAGTGTTAAAGAATTATAAATTAAAACTTTACATTCATTTGAATCCAATCTTTATAAACCGCTATAGCTTTTCTTATAGCACCAGCATGGTTAAAGTCTAACAAAAATGCTTGTCTGTATAGCTCATGTACGAAATTCACGTTATCCCTGTTTCCATATAGAACATCCCTAACAAGAGTGACTGCTGAAACACTACTATCTTCCTGATTTTGATTCTCTTGTTGAGACACAGTTGATTCGGGAGATAATAAAGTTGAGTCAGCACTATTTTGTGTAACGGAAACTCGACGAAGCTCTGGTTCCGTATTTTCTTCATTTGGAGTTGTGCTAAAATAGAAATTTTTTAGCCATAATTTATGTAAAATCATTGTAATGTTCATCAAAAATACTAAACTATTTGTAACAAAATACCTATGCGAAAGATGTGCGACACGAGCATCTTTTCTAGCGATATGGGTAAAACTAGCGATCCACTTAATCAAAGCAACTTTGCACAATACATAATTATCCTGACTCTGATTCGTTGGTTTTCGCATCGTAGGCAACTCCAAATTCGGTTTGTACAACGAAAAATTCTCATCAAACTCAGGGCAAATATGACGAAGATACGTAGTTTTAAAACGTTCTAATAAAAATTGAAAAGTCTTGTGCTGTCTTGAAGATTTATCTCTCCATTCTATCTTTACAACCTGTAAAGGAAATAAATACTAGTTTTCTTAGTACATTTTTTGGTAATATCAAATTGCATTATTTCAAAATATGTAAATATACCTGAGTAACCATAAATTCAAGTAATGCTTCTAAAAATCGAACAGTCTCATTATCAAGAGGCTTTTCCCCACTTTGTGGGGGTAAAATAGGTCCATTGTCAACTTGAGTGACAGGGCACTGGTTTGAACCATTATCATGAAAAGTACTTTGTGACAATTGTGTATCATAAAATTCCTTCTTATCTTTATCATCACAACCAATAACTTTGACAAGTTTATCTTTCTTTCCATCTATCTTACGTTCAGACTTATAAGGAGATGGTTGTTGCGGTGGAAACCCTGGTATCAAGCTTGCAAACATTTGGTGAATGTGATCAGGAGCATTTTCACCAAGTGCTTGGTACCACAAAATAAAGTATCTAAAAACAATTTAATACACATTATATAAAAGCACAAAACTTCTTACATAACAACATCACTAAGTATATGTTTACCTTATAGCTTCTCTTCTAAGTTTCCAACTATTACCAGGATGTAAAAGCTTTTGTAAAATCCTTGCTAGACTATGACATTGCCATCTTCTATTAAGCAGCTCAGGAAGAAGTGTTAAGACTTTTTCCAAGAGTTGCAACACCTGTTCCAATTCCTCTCTATGTGCTTTATGCACTATAAACGAAATATTTATTAAATGTACAATATTCAGTCAGCCAACATTTGCTTAATATTTCATGGATGAAAAAAAAAAGAAAAAGAAAAAAGCATTAGTTCTATAGAGCTCTTGTGTATATGCCAATTACAATGATATTATACTTGTGTAAGATTAGATGTAATGGTCAGATTAATGGAACGCAGACTGCAACATGCAAGGAATATACACTCTGTCATCTGTCTATTACTCACCAATGTGGAAGGAAAGTTCTGGCAGCAAAATAGAAAAACAAGCAAATAGTAAAATAATGATAATATTAGCATTTTGCAGATATTACATATAATTATAAGTTAATATTTTTAATACAGTTATAGTTCTATAAATAAAACTATATGATTTGGTCGACAGAAATTGCAGTCACATCTACGTTACAATGCAAGGCAGTTATGATGTATATTGTTAAAATATGAAATATAGTATACATGGAACAGCAAATATTTTTACCTCGTTGTCGCAGATTTGTTTCAGCTGATACAAAACAATCATATAGAATAAAATAGACATGACTGAAGTTGCCTTCAAAAAACCCCTTTGCTTCATCAGTATCCACATTTTCTATAAAATAATAATAGTAATAATTAATATATAGTAAAGTATATATTAATTATTATTACATAATTTTTTAGTTTACTAAAAAAATCATTATTAAAAAGTGAAAAAAAAGTTTCCTTAAAAATTTTTTTTACGATATTAATTATAAAATTTACAACAATAAATTTAGAAATGCTAGAAGACAATTATCCTTAATTATTGTAGCTAAAGATTAGAAATTTCAGCTACTTTTCTTTCACAAGAGGTTTGGTTTATAGTTTGTAGGGAGAGCTGTAAACCTCTATTACATCACCACTGGTCTTGTACACTTACACTTATATAGTAGAACCTTTTTCCTTCTATGTTCTCATATCACCACTGTCAATATCATTCTTCTCGATATAAGTACAATTGTAAAATTATAAAATGTTATATAGTTCTATTTTATTTAATAAAAAAAATTAAATTATGCAAATTACATAAAAGTATAATAGAAAGCATTTATATTTTCTGCAAGTTGGAGTAAATATTTATTTCTAGCACAGAATAAATGCAAAATTACATTTTAAAAAATAGGGAATTATGTGTATAAGAAATAAAAAAATAATAACACTGTTCTTGATGTCAACTTGTATAATTCTTCTTCCAATTATCATTTATGTATTCTCAATAACATCCTAACTCATAAACAACCTACAGAAGTTTTTATTGGTTGATGATTATACATTTAAGCATATAATATTATCTATGTATAATAATAATGTAACATTAGCTAAAATTGGAGGCCACGATAGGTTGGTTACTGTGGTCATGCGGTTTGGTGATTAGATACTACTACTTAACACTACACCATCACATTACAACTACATACAAGCTAAATTATTTTCTTTTTAAAAAATACTATAGAATAAGATTCAGTAATCTTCAACGATTTATTAATATATTTTAAAACATGAAATTATATAAACCTTCTCTGATATCATTTTAAAATATACAATAATCAATACATTTATTCAAAATTATTCATATAATTTTTACTTTTATAGCATACAAAATTAAAAAGAACAAATCACGTTATTAAAAAAAGAGCAAAGATACAACAGTTGGTACCAAAAGCTGTACAAAATAAGAAGGAGAATAATGAAAAATTATTTGACATTATTTTCGGGAGGAAAAATTCCAGAAGTTCTACGACAGCATTAAAACCATCTCGGTACTGGTGTGTAGGCGGCAAATACTAACAAAATTGCCGCCCCTCTCCTTTAACTATCGTCGTATTCATTAACTGGCAACTCCTCGTTCATGATTAATTTTCACAACGAATTAACGTTAGCTGATTCATACAGCAATAAGAAAGAACGGTTAGGGTAATGAAACGTAGGCTCACCTAGTACAATTTTAAGATGCTTGAACCGAGTCGCGCTATCCTTTTTAACATCCTGAATCTTCAGTGTTGACTTTTTGACGTCTACATGAAGTTTTTTGCTGAACATGGTTCAATGCGAGCCGCCGGCGGCCGCGACGACAAAAACTATCATCGAGGGTGTACAAAGTGGTGCTCATGGATACAGACCGACTAACTTCGCACTGTCACCATGTCAGCAACTCGAAAAAGACAGCCCCTTTTATCACAGTTCGGCGTCAAATTTCCCGAGCGCACACACCTCCGATCAGATGTACGTGGCAGCCATCTTGACATCCTCGGCGCGCACTGCTCATAACCTGTCGGGGCAATGACATCATCGCGCTCGCACGGTTAATTTATTTTTCCTTTTCTCTCAATTTTCAACCCACGCGAAACTGCACCCACACGCTCGATCATATTTCATCCAAGTATCTAATTATCAATTTTTCGCCGATTGAACCTTCGAACGAATGATATTTTTTGAGGACGCGCTTTTACTTGCGAAATGTCGAAACTACATTTTTTTAAAAGCTGCCGCTCTTGTTCTGTTTTACCATAGTATGGTAATATTAGTTATTGGCAGTACGATCTTTCATTTTTGTATTATTGATAAATTATTACTAAAATGTTTAATATAATATAATATATGTGGATTTAAAAAATACACGAGCTTGGAAATTTGGTATTTTTGGTTACAAGTTTATATTATCGACTTAGCTGCAATGGTAACATTAAATGTTACTAGATATCCCATTCACATGTCTACAATGATGCTAGTAATATTTCTTAAAAGGAAGTGACGTATTTACATGTGAGAAAAATCGGCGGAATATTTAAATATGACACAAAACACGAAGATTTGTATAGAATTGACATTTGATAAAAAGATAAGTCATAGTCAGCAAATCAAAGTGAAGAATTTTTGGAAGTTTATGACAGAAACGAGGCCGTTTGAACCTTACCGAATAATATCAGGTACAATTGTAAAAATTGTCAGGTACACATTGTGTTTTATCCTTTTGACAAATTAGTTGGTAAAATATAAATGATAGCGAAGAATGATAAAAATATGAAAGATTAAGTATGGCTGTTGAACCATTTCAATTTTCCATACATATTTAACTATAATTGTCGAAATGTAATCTCTAAAATACAAATGTAATGAAAATTTGCAGATAAAAAGTTGGTGAAGAAAGAAGATCAAGAATCTTTCAAATGTGAAAGAAAATGGCACAATCAGTTAAAAGTCTTCAAAGAACATGGACTAGACAAAGCAGCACTTGCAGCGAGTGAAGAGTGTAAACTTTGTCACTACCATGCTAATTACACGTAAGCACAAACGACGACAACCTGATTAAAATCAAAGATCGTTATCTTACCTGTTCCAAACAGGAGTTCAGAAATTTGTGACGCAGTGGAAGAGACATACGACGACCTGTTAAATGACATGGAAGCTTTTGACAGAAGATCAGATAATAAAACGAGCACCGCATCAACAAGGAAGAAATCTTCCACACTCCTTCAATATATATAAATATCACTCTTAACGTTCATATTCCAGATAGAAGAAAATCAAACTGTCGATACATGCTTTCGTTTTTAACCTTAATAATTCGAGTTGATCACCATATGTAACATGTGAATAACCAAATCGCAGAGAAATCTTGATTAAAGATATCAATAATGCATCACATACGCGGAGAACTTCGTCCGTTTCCGACTGTCCGATAGATTTGGAAATTGGAACAAGATAGAATATATATGAGCAAGATATTACACACTGGCCGAGGTTCCGAGCAGTATCGAATTTCTGTGGTGCAGAAGGTCGACGTTGTTCGGTTCGAGTAAGGTGCTCTGCTACGGGAGCCATGAATGGGCTCGAGGATGCTGAATCCTTGCACAACATCTGGCCCTCCGATCCTCCCGCGTTACCTTCTTATTGTTAGTTCATCGTGCATCCGAAAACCCGTACCGGATGACCGCGCACCGCCCCACCGATAAACATAACCAAAAAAAGTATCTAATTTGTATATTACCATCTACTAGCTAGTAGCTGCGACTCTTTTCACTTACTATACGACTGTATTTTTCAGGTCCCAAAAATATGAGTTTTTATGGATAAGTTTAGAATATAGTAAATAGTACTTTAGAAAATTAAAAACTCTTATATCTATTAAAAAATATGAGGTTAGAAATTTAAAAATGGAGTCTTCGATTCCAAATGTTATAAAGGATATTAATCCCATGAAAATATGTGCACCATGATAAGTACCTAGCAAGGGAAAGTGTGAAGTAAAAATAATAATAGTGTTACGTGACACTTGTAACGCTTGAGAAAGTGCGGAAACAACGTCAGTTTTTGGATATAATGGAAATTCTTTGCGAATAGCGATGTCATTTTTATGAGCAGATCTATTTTGATTGTTTAAATAAGGTTTCACAGTGTATACCGTTACAGCCGGAAATGAACGGATATTATAACCAAATTTATTAAGGGAATCTCGTTGCGGAATTTTCATTCTCACATTGTTATTCGAACTGTATCGTAATGTTAATCAAAATACAATCATAATTAATTTACATCTATACGATTCGATTTATTCAGCTGTTGTATTTTAATAGACACGTGTCTAATAAACACGCAGTTTATTCAATTGAACAACAACGATCTCTTGATTTTATCTAACTAATAATAAAAGTTAGCCGCTGTAGTCGATTAATTTCGCGATGAAATGCCTCGTCCCTCTTTAATAAATAGTTAACATTAATGATCTTTCGACCTCGTACAATTTCTCTTTCTCTATTTATTCCTACATATCTTTAATCGCAAAACTGAACAATTTTTCTTTTTAATTTCTAGGTCAGTTAAAAACGATAGAAATGGAGGTTAATACGGCTCAAAAATAAAATAAAACAATTTTGCAACAAAGTGGAAAGAATTGAAAAATTTAGAAAGTGGCGGCAATTTAAATAGTTTTGTTGTCAGAGGAATGAAAAGATTGATCTTGATTGAAAAGATCGACCAACTTGAAATGCAAATCGTAAGTAAAAAGTCAATTACGGTAGTAAACGACTTTTTCAATCTTCAAAGCAAACCTTTAAACGCAAATGAAGCGTATTTTACGGATAGCCTTCGACTTCGCGCCTCGTAGTCCTTCGTACTAGAACATGAAAATAAAACAACGAAAACCTGAAGCAGACGGAAAAATAAATTTCTTTTAGAAAGAAAGCAGAAAAACTACATAGAAACTACAAATAGGAAACAAGAAGAGAAAGTAGATGAAACTGAAAAATTTAACAGATCCCTCGTGCATAGCCAATGATAATAGCAAGTTATAAGTTCTCGATGATAGAACTCTTTTTTTCAAAATTGTACATTTTTCATTGCCAAATGGAATAATTAAATTGTAACTTGCGAAATCTAATTTTATTATCAAATTCGTTATTACAAGAACATGAATTAGACATCCTCAGTCTACTAGTAATATTATACAGTTCAATAGCGCATAGAGGGTTGAACGATGGACCTGACAAACAACGAAAAAAGGCAAGGCAGAGACAGCCAGGAAGATATAGAAAGTGAGCAAAATGTTGGAGGCTATCGACAAGATCCGCGTCGCCTCCATCCGGACATCGGCGTGCGTTATTTTCATCGAGCGCACACGGAGGAGACAATGAGGGTAAAAATAGAGAAGAACCACGGTAGGACTCTGGACAAAAGAGAGTAGCACCATGGGGGACCCTACCTCTTCACGAGGACACAGAGAAGGGATACCCGTTAACGGAGATTCGACGAAGCAGAGATGTTTAATCGGTGTTGGCCCGCATCAGGTTGATCGAGGACCCCCCAGCTATGGCTGTTCGACGACGATGAGGAGGATGGCGAGGACGATGACGACGACGAGGAGAACGAGAACGAGAACGAGGACGAGGACGATGACGAGGACGAGGACGTGGAACCTTCGATCATCGGGGTAAAGGGAGAGACAGCAAGAGGGGTCGAGGAGAGGAGGACATTGGGGGGGGGGCGTAAGCGGAACCA